AACTTACTGGGGGCAAGGACAGACAGCTAGCAACTATATAAGCCTTACCTCCACAGAAAATTAGACTAAAAGTAGTAATATTGCCCCTTATTTGTTTCCACACTATGAAATTTACCACTTTGTGTGGCCAAATAGCTTCATCTCTGAAAATTTTCAAGGCTCAGGCTCCCATGCCGTTCACTATTAATGGGTCTCCCTTGCACAAAGTCTGAGAGCACGTATGCTTTTGAGATGTCGTGTGAACCACATGACCCAAAAAAGGATTTCTTATTTTTAAACCAGGTCATGACTCCAGTGACTTTCATATTCCCAGCTGACAAGAACACAGATCTTGCAAACAGCAGGAACACCACAGCTAGGGAGCTTTCGGAGGCTGCCATGCCCGCACCAGTGACCATCTCCAATGACAGAGCGTTCTTTCCAAGTTACTCGTGTTTAAGCAGCACAGGAGCACTGTCTCCTCATTTCAGAGGGGAGAGAGTGCTTTTCTAATGAACATTTATCATTTTATTTTCCAAAGCTTTGTTTATAAACACTGGGTTCTTGCTAGACTGACTTTTACCATGCAGAGAACATAAGTTAGGGGACTTTTAAAATAAATACTTAAATAACAGTACTACTTTTAAAGAGAGACTTCGGTATCTCCCTTTAACTGACTTCAGACTAGAAAATGGCCCAGAGGGCACAAAATTTCATTTATCACAGACTACCTCACAAAGGGAATGATGGCTTAGTTTTCTCCAGGTTACTAAGAACTCACAGCATTTACATAATTTACAATAGATTTCACACTTGCTGAGCATCTCGTGTTTCAAAGAACCAAAAAAATCTCACCAAAAGCCCCAAAACAAAACACCTTGCAGACCTACAGGTGGCTGAGGCCTAACTGATTCACTTTTGTCACTGAAAGGAGGCCACTTCTTGGGTGATGCATGACAACAGCCTACACTAACCAAGAACAGTGAGCCTGTTTGTTTATAGCAGTGGAGGGAATTCAAAGCCTGGAGTTTAAAGCAGAAAGATCAGTACTGAACAATGCTTTCCTTGGAGAGATGACTTCACAATTTGAGGATGCTGTGCAATCAACACCAAAACTATGCTGAATCCTGCAGTATACTAAAAGTATGCTTATTCTGTATTACCAGGGTTTGATGGTAAAGTTATGCCTGACTAGCATTTACTGGCAAAGGACAGTTTCAGAAAAGTTTTAGTCACAGAAATGAAAACAAATTATACCATCAAAATACAGGGACAGGACTGAGCTTCTGCAAACCATGGAAAATTTGTTCCACGTGAGGAGTAACTGTACAGTTGATGGAGTATCTGTGAAACTTTAGGGTCATCTTTGTGCATTTTGCCTAACAAAACTACCAAAGTCACAAGTCAATTTGGAACAAAGGCTGAGGAGTGCCAGCCAGGGGTATCTGAGCCTACCTCTGAGGGTCATGTGCAGAGAGGGAAGTGCCAAACTTGGGTATTAGGTTTGCACTGACCATTTGCATGTTTGTAGATCTTCGGTTCTACACATAGACTGGGATCAGTTAAAAAAAAAGGAAAAAGAAGAAAAGTGTTCTTGTATGCAAGTCTGCAGGGTAAAAGTGCAGTACTTGAATATTGCTTAGATACTGGATTTAATAAAGAACATGATATTGTGAGGTAAGGAAGGAAAGCCAAGAATAACAGTCAGAAGGATATAAAGATCAGTAAGTTTTTTTTCAGAAACTGATGTAGCATAAGAGTGAGTCAGGAAAGCATATAGAACATCCCTTTGAATAACCCTCTCCTTAACTAATCCCCTTCTACAGATGCACAAGAAAAGCCATATTTCCATGCTGAAACATGCATACAGTACCTCTTAATTCTCTAACATGCCAATCAGGAGCAAAGTGAAAAAAGGAAGACAAAGGAATAAAATTAGGATAAGCACAACATAGAGGACTCACATATTCAGTAAGACTCATTCACATTAATTAACATTTATTTTAAGAACAACATTCAAGTATATTTAGCAAACACAGCATCTTTGAAAAAAAAAAAAAGTAAGCATGATAAAGATTATTCTAATAGCAGAGGGGGAAGAAGCCATGGTTACAGAGCAAATCTGACATCATAAATCATCATCAAAACAGAGGAAGAATTGTTCACTGACAGTCAGCTCCTACTCCCACAGATGTCAGTGACAGAAGCTGCTAACGTCAGAAGTGTAGGATTCAAACATGAGAATGAGAATGAGAAAAGATGAAACAAAATTATTACAACTGAGATTAAAAATAGCACTGTATCCTTCCTCCCATAGCAGAGTTCATCTCCTAGTACGTGCAAACAATTCAAGCATTGTCTAGATGAGGAGATGGACAGAGCTAACTCCTCCAAGACTCCCTAGCCTGTCAAGTAAAGACCTGAACTGGATGTTCCGGTCTCAGGCTTGTGCTCCATCCCAAAAGCAGAGAAGACTGCCTTGTGTCCTGGTTCCTCAGCTTCTGAAGCTCCTGAGACTGTCTTACAACTCCCTGGTTCCCCATCGCCAACAGGTTCACTACAAAAGTCGTCTTTGGCAATATACTACCTCTATCTGTCAGATCAGTGGGACAGAAGGGAACCTGATAATCGACCTCCACAACGTGCTGGGTTCTTCTTTGTATATGAAACCAGCGTTGATGGCTTCAAAACAAAGCCCACATTTCCTTACGTGCACAGCAGAGCACTCACACCAGGCCTGGGATTAGCTGAAGGCTTTGGTACACCCCTCTTTCTATCAGCTAGACGGGTGAATCACTGAACAGAGTCTGATCAGAATATGATGTATGAGAAAAACTGCGATCAGAAGTATCTGCTCCCCTGTTTTCTACAAAACACTGAAATGTCTTGAAGCTCTTTTTTCCCCCTGCTTTATTCTCCTCCTTTCTAGGTCTAGACATGATACCTTTTCTGGTGCTGTCCTAGACACTTCTCTCTTCCGACCACCATGCTGCAAACTGAACAGGCCAGCAAGTAAACGCAAAGCAGAGCTGATCCCTGGAAAGTTGGCCCATACCCTGGTGCTAACTGTGAAAAACAAGAAAAGCAAACTTCTTGGATGACCTTATATTCATTCCAGTGAGCTCTTAGTATCAGCTCGGGTGCGATTTTCAACAGGTCTCTTTTCTGGACAAGCCTCTATGACTTATGCAATTTTCAGTATCAAACAAATTATAGGCTTTCGCACCTAGGCAACTAGTTCTTCTGCAACACCTTTGCCTTCTCCCATGCCTTTAGAATAAATCACTGAACAGGAGGTGTTTCTCTAACCTTGGAAATTCACTATTCAGTTGCTGCAATGCATATATGAAGAAAAAAAGTCTGCTGTTGAGCCTTTTTTCCGTCCAAAGTATTTTTAGCATATCCACTTCCTACATATTTAGGCAATAAATCCAGGTCCCTTCTTATTTCTAGAAGTGCCAATCAGATGTTTTAAGGATCCCTTTGGTGAAAGAGTACAGCCTAGTGGCAGGAAAATGAAAGATGGGCCTGTTCCACTATATTTGCCTGTCAAGACAAAGCTTGACACAGAACTAACATCACACCAGTTACAAATCAAAGTTATTTTTGAACTGGTTATGAAAAATGAATGTTCAAGTAATGGATGTATCAACAGAAAATATTAAAAGAGGAACAGCACAGTAAATGCCTTTCCTTTATTCTTTAGGGCAAGACTATTGCTGTAAGCCTAAGGATATAAAGAAAAAGAGGACTTGTAAGGAATAATTACTTTTCTGAGACCTACTGACACAGCTGGAAAATATTATCAAGAGTCCATGGTCAGAATTTCTTTCTCACCTGAGACATGAGATACTTCATGAAAGGGCTCAGCTTAAAGCTTGACTTCTGGACACATAAGCTACATGAGCTGGTCTAATAAGAGACATCACTTCTGCTGAGGTCCTCTGTTAGGAGATGGAGGGCAACAAAGGCTTCCGTGCTACTGGATATGAGCCCTGTCTGAAAAAGGGAACCTGGGGAGCTAGAGAGGGGAATTCACAGTTTCACTGACATTTTCATCATCACCACAAGTCACTAGCTTGTGGCTTACCAACCAGGCTACCGCTTGATGAAGAGGAAGGCCACACCAAATGACTGCTTTTTTTTATAAGACAACAAAAGCTTCCCACAAATCTGCAGTCCCATGAACTAGGCTGAAAAGAACAAACTGATATGCCCCAGCCAGAGAGCTACCAGATGATGACAGCTATTCACTGTCACTCTACTGATCAAATTTTAATGAAAAGTCAACATCATCAAATGAATTATGTCAGTGAGATGACAGCTGTGTGGTAGCGGTTATTTTGTGTCTTTTTTTTTTTTTTTTTTTTTTTAGATCATTATTACTAAACTTTCAGGAGAAAGGATCAGCAAGATAATATAAAATGATATAGTAATTTGATATAGTAACTCCCACGTTGCTGATGCTCCAGGAAAGCAGCAGCACCAGCAACTGGGAAGTCACTTGTTAGCCAGAAGAGTCAGAAATAAGAACAAGGACAGTTCCGACCCTTCAGACTTAATACCCGCTGTGCAAGTTTCTTGTGGTTGCCAGTACATAGGTCAGGCATAAATGGCAGACATGCAGACTCTGAAAATGAATGGATCTCATTCATCCTGCCTGACACCAAGGGGACTGAATGTATTTGACTGAAAGTCTGCCAATTCTAAACTGTGAGAATCTGATGAAATTGCTACAAGAAGAAAAGAAAGCAAGCTAAAGACATGGAGTCTGACAGTATACATGATAGTACTTGAACCTTCTTTAAAATGTAACCACACACTTGTAACAATAATTTTCAGACCAAAAAAAAAAAATCAAAAAACCCAAACCAAGACAAAAATCAGCCAACCTAAAACAAAGTCTCTGTAGCCTACTGGTAAGAGAAATAAAGTGGCACTCATGGTCATCTGGCTAGTCTTGTCCCAAGCTCCTGTAACAAGCACTGTAACAAAGTACTAGTAACATGAATGCTCTGTACCTGCATCTTCCTCTTGACAGTCTCAAAGGGGAAAGAAAGCGTCTGTGCCACACCAGCTGCTACACAGCCATTTATGAAGTTCTGAAGAGGAGTGAAATGAACTATGGGTTCTCGCCAGATTTTGTCCAGATTGATGTAAACAAAGAATGAGCCTGCAGAAAATGGGACAGCACCTAGAAAGCAAACCAGACAGGTCTATATCAACAGACTCTATACTAAGAAAACAGAGCTGTTTATCACATAACCTAGAAAGATAGGATAAGCCACTGCCTGTTTACACCTCAAACCCGACCAATATTTTGAAGAACTTTACTTTTTAGTCACTGGTTTACCACCAAACACCCATACTAGCATCTACATGTGCTGATAGGGGCATATATTTACATATTAAAATGTGCACATTGTCAGAATTAACTGCTCTAGTCTCATGAGAGGTCAGCTCTTTCTCCAGGTTCTCTCTTTTGTGACAAGCTCTTACTCCAGTCCAACCCAAATGTAGCAGTTGTACAGGTAAACAGAGCCACCTCTTCAGTCGAGCCAATGAGGGATACTGCTGTCCTCTTTTGCTTGCTTCATGGTCTCATCAATTTTATAGTGGGATTATACATTATTATCATTATTATGCATTTTTTATAATGCCATATTGTGAAAAAGTGTACTCAAAGTTAAATGGCATTTTTAAAAGCTATGGAGAGTAAATAAATAACTAAAAAGTCATTTCATGTAAAGAGAGACTACCACCAATCTTCACTTTTCACATCAGTCACACATTACTGCTCATGCTTGTTTCACTGACCAGCTAGGGAGACACTCTCACACCTAGATAGGAATTAGAAACATTGTATGCATATATCATTTTTATTTATTTTAAGAGTTAAATAGTGGAAATTTTGCATCCGAGCACAACTAGAGCATCTATAAAAGAAGGAAAAGAGTATCTTTTTTAACACTTAACCATACATAAAATGCTACGCACTTGTTCATAATTAGAAGCAATAAAGCTACAGCAGGGGTAATCAATACAGTTGTGCCTTGAAAATCCACGTATCTTCTACAGAAGAACATTACTATTTGGTCTTGAAATCAAGTAAGCAAGTGAACACACTACATAGTTGCAATGAACACTGTGCAATGAAGTGATATTTCCCCATTATTATTTTACCTAATATAGCTGGTGAAACGCCTCGGTAGAGTGCAAGGAGTCCTTCTTGATGATAAATTTTGTAAAAAGCATGAAGAATTCCTTCATAAGATGGTTCCAGTCTGTTCTGCACGATGAGACGTGTTTTAATTACGTCAGTGGGATAAGTCACGATGGTTGCAACCATGCCAGCCAGACTTCCTGCCATGATGGCTCTCCAGTGGGAAATATGACCCAACTCATCCGTGAAAAGTATAACGAGTCTAGAGCAAACACATAAAAGAGGTATTATTAATGACAGTATGAACAAAAGACATGAAAAATTAAGGCAGATTATTCTCAAAGTAATTTTTGTTTGATCCACAAGCCCCTTCAGCAGCAGGAGTTGAAACTTTAACATGTATTTCATCCAAGACGTCACTATATAGAACATCACACAGGCATCAGAACCTCTGTGAAACAGAACATGTGAATAGGCAAACACAAGGAGAGTCCAAACAATATGTCCAAGAGCCCAAAGTGATTTTGGGTAAATCCACACTGCACAGAAGTACAGAAATGCAAGTTATAGTTAACAATTAAGTCAGGGACTGGAATATATAACTATGTAAATGCAATTTGCTTTGATTTTAGTGTTACTGAGTTAAAATACTTCTAGTAGCTGAAAGATGTTTTTTTGAGGCAGCTTTCATAGCTCTACCTGCACCCCAGTTCCAAGCACAGAATAAGCTCACATAGCTTGACTTGTGATACTGTGCTGGAGGTCCAGAGCACAAGTTCAACATTGAAAAAAATCTTCAATGATACAGGGAATAATTGTTCAAATTATTTACTTGTTTGCTTTGCAAGAGACTTTTAAAGTAATTTTTGACTACAGAATCCTCATTTATATTTCCATCTACAGGATGAAAATTACCATGACTCAAAACATGTCTGCAAGAAACTCTCTGATCATCACTCATCAGTTAGAGACATTGGTCCAATCCCCAGCCAAAATTATCATGTCAGAAGAAATACATAGATAATGTCATCACAGGCCTTCTGAGAACAACTGAACCTTCCTCTGTTGTGTACATTGGGACAGAAAGATCCACAGGGATACTTCGCTAGAGAAGACTTATGTTCAGGCACTATTATGCTCAAGAGGTTAAATCTAAATCTGAAATTTTGAAACCGAAGCACAAAGTTTTAAAGGCTAACCTACAACTCAAGCATTTGTGATGCACAGAAGGACTATGTATGCAGGGCACTCCTACATCAAAGAGAGGCGTCATGGAGGCAGCAAGAAGCAAGTCAAAAGACTCGAGAGGAGAATCTTGACATAAAGAAACATCCTATTTTGGAAGAATTAACTAAACTGCCTAAAGAGCAGATTTACATTTAATCTACTCAGTGTTACCAAGTCCAGAAGAAAATAATTTGCAAAAAATTACAAGTCACTGCTTGCTCAGTTAATGCTTTTTCGCATGAGCATGCATCTTCTACTGCATGACAGATCCTACATCTACTTGCCTCCTGCCCTGGAGAAAGCCCAGAGCAGAAAGACTATCTGAGCAGAAGTGAAAAGGCATAAACTTTTTTTTCCTGTGTGTGTCTTGTACAGTCCCTAAAGTAACACAGCCTGATTTTCCTGTGTGTGCACAAATGCATTGGAGGGTGGTGGGGTGTCTCTAGGCACTACCCAGGTAACATTTGAAACTGCCATGAAGAGTCTGTGCACAGTCATCGCAGATGGAGTGCAAAGTCAGCTCAACCCCCCCTTCCCCAGCCAGCTCCCCCCACACTGCCGCTCCTGGGGCTGCTGCAGGTGCTCAGCCCCACTCCTTCTGCAACTGGCATTACTGTTATCGTGTAACATTTATCTTTATGTGTTTCTTGCCTTTATATACACCATTCTCTCACTAAAAAAATCCATTAAAAACATCCCCAAATAATGTATCGATAAATATGGTGGGGTTTGGGTTTTTTTTTTCATTTAATAAATTTTAAGAAATTTTATTTAATAAATTTAGCTTTAATTTCCTGGTAGCCTACTTCCACCCGTAATTCCCTGTGCAAACTAGAGACAAACTATAGCCTTGAAAAGGAAATACACTGTTTCAAGCTGAACAAGGAATGAAATTAATTATTTTGCTCAAAATCAACTGGGTTATACTGGTGCAACACACTCTTCTGGGAACTTTAATTACATTTAAATCACTGTTTCTACCTTCCCACTGCCATTATCCGTCCCCATGTTTGACCACCGTGTGCATTACAAGCAGAAGGACACAACAAAGCTGCCCAGTTCCAGGGTGCTTCATCTATCACGTCCTGAAAGGCGCAGGCGGAGCTGGGAGGATGAATCTTGCTCAGCCAGATAAAGGACGAACTGCAGCAGGCTGCGCAGCGTCAGCCCAGGCGAGAGCCGCAGCAGGCGGGATTGGCCAGGGCGGGCTGAGCCCATGTTTCTCCCCACCCAGCACAGCCCGCGAACTGGAATAACCCATCTCCCAGCTGGGCGGAAATGTCAAGTGCATACCACGCACCCAGCTGACCTTAATGAAAAAAAAAAACGAAGAAAGAAACCCAGCATTCGAAGTGGCAAAACAAGCTGGGACACGCAGTCAGGCACTCTTTTCAAAGGCTTAAAGATACTAAAAGGCAACAAAAGGGAATTGTAGGAAACCACACAGGTCAGCAGAGCTCGGCCAGCGCCGCTCCGTGTTGATCCTGCTGCAGTCCTGCCGGCGCTTCCCTTAGTTTCATGTCCGTTATCGAAAACGAGATCTTAAAACAAAGTCACATATCAACTTCAAAACTAATCAAATTTGCGTGACTGCTGCATAACAAAGATCTGTATCATGAGTTTGTTATTGATAGAGGCAATATAAATATTTGAGGGCATATAAATGAATAAAATTAATTGGTTGCAAAGAACAGACGTCACAGTCACATTTGTAGGTAGCGCTGCAACTTCATTTCTAAAGGAATCTGGCTGAGCAGAGGAGATTCCACAGACTATCTTCAGCATCTGAAGAACATCCGTGGCTTTATAAGCAGTTGCTGGCGCAGCACCAGGCCCTGTGCGCTGAATGAACTAAATAAATGAAGTTGTCCGCCGGGGTACGTGGCCCTGGGGAGAGGGGACACACCCCAACTAGCCATCGGCTGAGACAGACATTAAAGCGCCCCTACGGACCGAGCTCTCCACCTCCACCCCCTCCCCTCCTGCAACGGGCACGAAGGGCCGGAGCC